CAGATGTATGCCTTTCGCCATCAACTGACTGACGCTCAGTAAGTTGTAGCCAAGTCCTTCTGCTATTAGGACTTTGGACATTTGCAGTATGACATTCGTCTCTCGTGACTGAAGTTGCACTACTCCTTGTCGTCGTGTGCGCAGATTCTGATTATTGGCGACAGTGATGACGACTTCTCGTTGAAGTTGGTGCTCGCGTTGAACGAAACGTCCTGAAGAGCACATATGTTGTCCGCAGCAACTGTCCAAGAACCATGTATCCTTCCCGGACGGCTCGCTTTGAGCGATGGCGGCTTACGTCGGGTTCGGTTGAAGTGACTCGCGGCGAGGCGTGCTGTTGTCGAGTTGTTCTTCTGGTGAGTAATATGGTGGTGACTCAGTTACGCAGGAGTCACTCAGCCTTGCCATGCAGCTGACGATGTTTCTTGTTCCTTTCGCAGGTTGTCCCGTCGATGTTGTTGAGACTTGTACTGAAGTTGTCGGATTTGCTTGCGTTGAGGCGACTTGACTGCTTGAAGGGCGAAGTTGGCGTTGCGGCGACGTTGACTGTTGTCGATTCGGGCAGTGCGTACGAGGATGCCCTGAAGTCTTGCAGAGGTGGCAGAACGGAGGTACGATTTTCGGTCGATTGTTGTTGTTGTTGTGGCGCCGTTGAGTGTGAAACGCGAATTCGGGCACTGATACCTTTCTCTTGTGTCGTTCTTCTTGCAGGTCCATGTCTTGCTGCTCGGCGTGGATTTCAGCGCAAAGTGCTGCTTCAGAAATTTTCCCGTGGGCTCGTAGTATGGCGCGAGTGGAGCGCCAGTGAGGACCAAGACCGCCGATGACAACCGTGACGAAGGCGTCCTCTGAAATCGATCCTCCACATCGAAGAAGCTTGACGCGCAGCTCGCGGCAGCGACTGATATACGCCATTCCCTTCTCGCCTGGTTTCATTTCTATTGTTGTCAGCTGCGCCATTAACCGACTTTGGTTTACGCTGTCTGTTGCTTGATACAGGCTCTTCAAGTGATTGTACGCGAGCTCCGCGGAGTTGCCGTAGCCTCGGTAAGACCGTATGTTTTGTTGTTGAGTTGGAGTGATGTTCCTCAGTAGTATCGTGTACGCCATCATCGATTGATAGGTGTACTGCTGCTCCTCATACTGTGTGCCGTTTGTTGGGTATGGCAGGGACCCGTCGAAGAAGCCAAGGATTTGCGCTCCTTCCATCATCAGCTCGAATTCGAACGACCAGGTAAAGAAATCCTTCTCGTCGAAGGGTTTTGTCGTTTGCAGTTTTAGAACGTGCGCGAACTGCGACTGAACTTGTAGTGCGTCCAGCGTTCTCTCTTGTCCCGGTGCAGGTTGTGGTTGTGGCATGAAGCTGACGGAGCCGCGCTGGGGCTCGTACGGAGCGAAGGTAGGTTGCTGTTGTTGATTCCCGCGTGCGTAGGATGAGCCATCGAGACTCATGGGCGTCACGTTGTTGTTGTTGTTGCTGTTGTTTGATTGCGCAGGTGCTCCTTGCTGATGCTGCTCGTACAAGGACATGAAGGAGAAGAACTTCTCCATCATGCTTGGATCGAAGCCCGCGCCTTGGTTTGCGGGTGTTTCAGTAGACCCAGCTCCCGGTCTCGTTGTTGTGCCTTCCTCTGTCTGTAGGCCAGAGGCAGGAGGTGGAGTAGGAGTAGTACCAGGAGAGCCGTTGGAGGAGATCCTCTCCTTTCTGGTAGACATGTCTCTTGGTGTATTAGGTGTTAAGGAGAATTAATTTTAACCCTAACCAGCTCTTATACCATGTTGGGCTGAGTGCCCCTTAGGATCTTTGGTAGGGTTAAACTCTGGGTAGAGTGATGTAGTAGCGGAAGCGTTTAAATGAAGTCCTTGAACCACCTTGCGCTGGTATGTGAGGGCAAAGTAAGTTGATTAAAACAAGCAAGTACAAAGGTTTATATAAGAGTACAAAGAATACGAAGAGATATAATTAAACTGTTTTACTGTTGCGGTTCGATACAGTGCGACTCGGGCAACTGCTCAATGTCGAGTCAGTTGTGTGTCCTTGCTGTCGCGCTGCATTTGTCAAGTCAAAGGTCGCTGACCTTTGACTTTCGCGTAACCTCCAGCGGTTACTTCAACCTCCGAGGGTTGACTCGCTGGTGCCTCGATATGCTCTGCTTCGCTTGTGCCTTGGTGTTTCGACACGACAGAGGCGCTTTAAGATTGTTTGTTCCCAACACTGAGAAGGCAGGGAGGAGACACAGACAACACGTTCCAGCCATTGCTATTATTGTATGTAGGAAGGGATACAATGCTCAATTCGAGACAACACCGGTTTGTGGAGATGATGCTCTCATCTCCGCACACTAGCTTATATAAATAACTATGATGCCGCCGTGTGGTCAGTCGCACAGACCAATCACCACAGCAATCCCGCCGTCAGGAGCAGACGTTCAGAAACTTGAGGGTTTTGTACGACAGCAGCGAGAAGAGCCCCGCAGCAGCGAATCCAACGGCTGCCGTCGAAAGGATCGAGAACGCGAGGAACGTCAGAGCAGCAATGCTCCAACCCAGAGCTAGGTATACGCAGCAGAGCGGGACGAAAACGCACATCCCTAGGAGAATCCCGAAAAGTACGGAAACCACGGAAAGAAGATCCGCGATTTGAAAAACCATCTGTCTGGAGTCTAATCTCGTTCGACAGACTTCCATAGCGTGAGTTGCTGCCCGTTTTTCTCTCGGGCAGTCTTTAGCATCGGCGATGAGACGAAGAAGAGCAAAGTTTTTGGGCATGCTCGCGAGGCCCTTCCACACGACCAGGCAACGGCATTCCGGGCAGCTGATGCATTTCTTCCCGAAGAAATCCTGCCACGGACAACGGGGCGCAGAGGGTGGGAGACTTACAGAGTGAGGGACGAGGTAGGGAAAGCATGGTTGGAATGGCATGGGATCGAGGAGGAAGGTGACCGGAACAAAAGAGACGGGGTATATTGTAGGAAAATATTAGAAACATCCCCACTACATCGGTCTAGAGAAGGACATAGCGTATCAATTCTGGCTTTTCAGAAACCAGGTCTTCATGCCTATTCCACCCAAGAAAGATTCCTGGCGCTGGTGACTTCTGAGTCGACTCAACCCTCCAACGTCACCCTTGGTGGTTACCCGGGACAATAGGGGAAATTCCGGACACAGGTGCCGTTTGAATGGGCTCAAATCTAAGTGCGTATCGTGGGTTACCCTTTGTGCCTAGCCTGGGTCACCACTAATGTCTACCCTGTGTCATCCCTAATGCCTACCCGAGTCAAAGGGAGATTCCGGGCACAGGCTTGGCAAATCGTGTGGCCACAGGCGACCAGCCGCGGAACGCGCTGCTCCTGATCGTACAGCTCCAAGCACACAGGACACTCCGGGACCACCGGAGTAGCCACCCCCTCCACTTCTCCCGCTGCTCCCCCCGCCGATCGTAGCTCGGAACCCCCTAAAGCTCCGCTGACCATAGCTTTGCAGTCTGAAGGCTTATCTGCTGCTGACGAACCCTCTGCTGAAGGATCCTGTGCCGAGGCGGCATTTGCTGACGTGGCATCTGCTGACGATGAATTTGCTGACGAGCCATCTGGCGGGACATCGGCGCAGCCATTGGAGCAGTCGTCCCAGTCAGAGCAGCTCGCGTCGGCCAATTCTACCATGGCGAGGACGACGAGAACCTAATAATATCGATTCGTATTTTAGGATTGTTGAACGTGACCACACGTGAACCGGAAAATGTCGATCTGGATTCAAGGCAAGCCTGCTTCGGACGTTACGCAGGCAGTTTGTAATAGCGAAGCTGACGAGTCAGCATTGACTCATCAGGCTATATCGGGTATGAAAGTACTCAACGAAGCGAGGCTTCTCAAATATAATATTTTGGATCTGGTTTCTGCCTCATAACTTAGTGGGACGTTACGACACGGTTACTAAGGACAACTGTACTTGCCAGAAATAGAAGACAACTATGACAGAGTGATGTGAACATGCCACACTAAAGACGTGGTCACACCGTCAAACCTAGGAGACACACCAAGCGACGCGCCTTATCCAGCGATTGCTTGGAGAATCCCTAAGAGTGAGCGAGTGACGTGGCAGTGACAGGAAAGGTATGGAGAAGGAAGCGGGAAACACGGATGTCAAGCTCGTGGGTGGTAGCGATGATGGTGGTTGTGGTTGCGGTGGAGTCGAGATGCTGGAGCTGCTGGTGTGGGCTCGGGGGGTATGAGGGGAGGAAATGTGGGGGAAAGGGGGGTGAAGGAAGGTTGGGGGAGGAGGTTGGCGGGGGGAAGAGCCGAGGGGGGAGAGCATGAGGAGAGGAGGAAGGAAGGGGGGGGGACAGGTTGGGAGGGAAAGGGAGGGGGGAGGGGGAAAGGAGGGGGACGAAACTGGGGGGAAGGGGGTGTGGAGGGGCAGAAGGAAGAACAAGGGGGGAGGTAAGCGGATGGAGAAGCGGAGGTGGGAGGGGGGGAAATCAAGTCACAGGCGGAAAAAAGAGCATCGTGGACTTGTGCAGGCGGAAATTTCAGGTAGGAGTTGGGGAGGGGAAAAACGTTCAGGAAGGATATTTCGGGCGGGAATCGGGGAACAATGCAGACCTCATGCCAAGTGCTACCCTGATCGGTAACCCCAAGGGACTCACCGAATGACTGCTTCGTGTCGTGAGTGATGGTGGCGACGATGGCGACAGCCGAAGACCGCGCTCGCATGGCGGGAAAAGGTGGGTCAGGGCCTCTGGTCCAATAGTGTTCGCCAGAGAAATTGTACAAAATTCGGTGGAGCACCGTTATGCATGGATTCATGGAATCCTATAACTCTAACCAAATCATACGCATAAACCCAAGATAAACTGGGAAGCTATCCAATTAATGTGGTCGGGATCTGATGTCGCCACAGATATAGATGAAAAGACGACAGCACTGAACAACACATCCCTCACACAAAGAAACTATATAGAAATTACACTCCTCACCCTCTGCCCAGCCAAACTTCTCAAATCATGACTCAAAGTCGCCCCAATCGTCATTATCCTCCTCGGCATCGTCCATAAATCCTCCCATTGACATTCCCGCAATCACGGAAGACACAGACGTCTCTGCCACTGGTGGAACCATCCCAGAGTCACTCTCAGCAGTTGCGGAACCAACAACACCAGCGGCAGGTGATGCCATGTTTGCAGCTGGTGCTGTGACTGCAGCATGACCTGCCGCTGCAGAATCTTCGAAGGAATCGAATCCAGCTGTTGCCATCTGCTGCTTCCCACTTTCTTCCGCCTCCATTGTAGCTGCTGCGTTTGTAGCTGCTGCACTTGCAGGTGCTGCGCTTTGAATCTCTACAATTGCACTTGCAGAAGAATCAACAAGAGCTGCTGCTGCTTCCGACCCTGTTCCTCCTGCTTCTGCTCCTCCTGCAACTGCTCCTGCTGCTACTGGCACAGCTGCAGCATGTGCTCTTGCCCGAGGGGGAACGCATGACGCGATAATAGATGCAGCAGACACCTTAGGCCGGCTATTAAACTCCCTCAACCCCCCAGGATCCCTCCCAGGTACCACCAGGTGATCTGCCAGCATAAATGACAAGTCGGGCAGCGACTGCAAAATTTCATGCACCACCGGAACTGCCCGTCGTGGGAGGCGTACAGCTGACTCCCAGGGAAACTGCCCGCAAAATTTCCGGTGAAAGCGCTCATGCCAGCAGCAGGGTCGTTGGTGTGAGTGGTGCCGGATGGGTGCGCAGAAGAAGACGAAGAGGAGGTGCCAGAAAGGACAGAGCTTGTGATACCTCTGAGCTGTGAGAAGAAATCCAGCGGAAGAACCACTGCAGTGGGGGGAGGGGGAGCAGGAGGGGGAAGGAAGGGGAAGGCGATAGGGTAGGGGGAGAGGGGAGGGGGATGAGGAGGCACAAGAAATTGCTTTTACAGAGACAGAGAGTGTTGTGAAATCAAGAGGTTATTTTAAGAGGCGTGAAACCAATGACAGAAGGCAAGGCACAGAGCGTTTGGTAGTCATACCCAGCAGCAAGTCGAGAAAGTGGACCATGCGAGTCAAGACGCTAGAGTCTTAAGACTTGAACCAAGCGTACCTGCTGTGCCTCTCTGGAGTGATAGCCGCTGCACCCTGCTGCTGCTGCTGCTGCTGCTGCTGCTGCTGCTGCTGCTGGGCCCCTGGTGATCCAAAGCTGGCAGCAAAGAACGACGAAGAGGCAGAACCTGCTCCTGTTGCTGCGCTCGCACTGGGAATAGCGGGGACCGCTGCCGGAGAGGCTGACGTGGCGGCAAGGGCAGCGGCGGCAGCGGTGGTGGGGAGAGCACCAGGAGCAGGTAGTGGTGTGGGCAGAGTGGACGAGAACGCAGAAGGGACAGCCGCAGCAGGAATTGAGGAGACAGCGGCAGGAGTTGAATGTGAATCAAGAAAACAGGAATGAAATGACTAAGTGAAAGTTGGGTACAAAAGGCAAACCCTAGGCAACTGTACCCCATATGTGCTACCCCACTATAGCCTACAGTAGCTATGTCATATAACTCTGACACACCCCCATAGGCAAAGTGGGGGAGAACAAGGGGTCACAAGACCAGTCAAGCAAAGCAAAGCAAGCTCAGGGTGGATCACAAAGTCACCACACATTCCGAGCACAAGTTCAAGGCCACAAGGCCAGTTCACATGCAGGATTACATATATATATAAGGCTAGACAAGCAAGAGCAGGAGTATATATATATGCAACAGTACAAACAAGGTCAAGAGGTGAGCAAGTGAGGCAAGGTAGGTACAAGACCCAGCTGAGTACAGAAGCGCTGATAATCACAAGGCGCAAGTGCCTTGGTGAAGATATCAGCAGTGTTGGCCTCAGAGGCCACGTACGCAAGTCGCAGCTGACCACGCTGCTGTAGCTCACGAGCAAGGAAGTAGCGAAGAGCAATGTGCTTCGTTCTGTGCTCCAGTCTCTGCTCTCGACACAAGGCCAGCATGGCCTTGTTGTCTACGTAGAGCACTGGAGGAGAACGAGGCGGCTCTCCGAAGTCAGTCAGCAGGTAGGTGAGCCAGCGAAGCTCCTGTGCAGCCATGGCCCCGGCGTAGATCTCAGCCTCACAACTGGAGCCGAGAACAGAAGACGAGCGAGTAGCCCGCCACGAAACAGAGCCGGAACCAAGGCTGAAGGTGTAACCCTGTGACGACCGCTGCGTAGCCTGGTCGTCAGCCCAAGAAGCGTCTGCGTGTCCAGTGAGGACCACTGGACTCTGCCCTCCAAGCACAAGCCCCATGCCCGACGTACTGCACAAGTAGCGCAACACCCTCTTCGCTGCAGCCATGTGCTCCGGTCTGTGTCTCCCAGGAGCAACATAGCGTGCAAGAATGCTAAGAGAGTATGCAAGGTCAGGTCGTGTGCAGGTCATCAGGTACATGAGGCAGCCAACAAGCTCTGGGTACGGGCCACTCGACTCTACGGACTCATCCGAAGGAAGAGCTGAGAGCGAGTGGCGAGTAGGCAGAGGAGTGGCCTGAGGCGAGGAGTACGTGAAGCCGAAGCGCTGAAGGACCTGCTGCACCATGTGTGACTGAGTCAGGGTAATGGTGCGGCGTGCTCTGTCCCGGGTGATCTGCAAGCCAAGGTAACTGCGCAGTTCACCCAGGTCTGTGCACGTGTGTCTCTTCTGCAGCTCGGACTTCACGTGGGCGAGTCCAGCAGTGTCAGCTGTGGCAAAGACCAAGTCGTCGACGTACACGAGGATGTAGAACGGCTGCAAAGAAGTGTCGGTGCGCAGAAACAGCGACGGGTCGGCAGTAGAGGGAGCAAACCCAAGAGCCGCAAGTGTAGTCCTCAGTGTGTCGTGCCACTCACGCGGTGCCTGGCGGAGACCGTAGACTGGCCGCCGTAGGCTCCACTGGGTGCCAGGAGGAAAAGACCCAGTGAAGCCAGGTGGGCGACGCAGCCAGATCTCCTCGTGCAGGCTGCCCTGCAAGAAAGCAGTGCTGAAGTCAAGAGAGTGCAGCTCGTAGTCGCGGTGAGCAGCTATGTGCAGCAGTACCCGAAGAGTGGTCATCTTCGGGGTGGGAGAGAAGGTCTGAAAGTAGTCAACTCCCTGCCGCTGACTGAAGCCACGAGCCACGTAACGCGCCTTGAAGACAGGCGGAGAACCCGGCGGCCGCTTCACCCTGAAAATCCACATGCCACTGACGATGTTCGCCCCAGGCGGGGGAACCTCGTCAACGTAGGTGCCTGTGGACTTCCAGGAAGCCATCTCTGCGTCCATAGCTGCCTGCCACTGAGAGGAGTAGGGACCCTCTATCGCCTCCGCGTAAGAGCGCGGAGTCGGGATGTCAAGTGCATCCGGGTCTCCCTCAGGGGTAAGCAGTACGGACACGAGATGAGGTGAAGCAGCAGCCAAACACTGGAACTCCTCCTGCCTGTCCTCAAGGACGTCCGTGCCAAGGGCACACTCACCCCCGACGGACGGAGGACAGACAGACTCAGACTCAGCAACAAGACTAGCAGCGTAGTCTAGACGACAGCGAGCAGCAAAGTCGACGAGCTCAGTAACTAGGGCAGACGCAGCAGTGGACTCAAAGGAAGGGTCAGTGACAACAGTAGCAAGGAGACGCGTGACAGTAGGACTGGCAGCACGAAGAGAGTCCGACTCCGGGTCAGGAAGAGCAGGAAGAGAGGACTCAGGAGGAGAAGGCAAAGGGGCACGCAGAGGAGCAGTGGACGGACGCAGAGACATCCGGTGCGTGCCAGGGACAGGAGGAGGACGCTGACGCGAACCACGAGCACTAGTGCGAGCAGCACGGACAGGCGACGCAGGGCGAGACGCAGGCTCACGACGCTCAGCAAGACCTCCAGTAGGACCAGTGTAGGGAGAAGGAGCGGGCAGTGGGGAGGCCGGCTGTAACTGTAACTGTGACGGGACAGGCTGTGGACACTCTAAGGGAGGAGGAGGACCAGTAGAAGGCGGGAGACCAAGAACCTGCTGAAGGAGCGGAACGAAGTACGGCCTAGGCCGTGTGGCGACTCCAGACACAGCAGGGACAGCACCAGTACCCCCAGCGGCAGCACCAGCGCCAGCAGTACCTCCAGCTCCAGCACCCCCAGCAGGACCGCCTCCAGGACCGACAGCAGTAGCCTCAGCGCCAACACCCTCAGCAGCTCCAGCTCCAGTCGTACCCGCAGGCCCAGCAGCTCCAGTACTCCCAGTACGAGCACCTCCGGGACCCGCGGCACCAGCACCCTCAGCAGCCGAAGAACCTCCAGCTCCAGCAGCACGCCTCCAGCGCCGGGCAAACCCCTCCAGGCTCAGCACCGCCAGACGCCACACGAGCAGGCCCAGCTCCCTCAGGCTCCGCACCCCCAGGCTCAGCACCTCCAGGCGTAGCACCCCCAGGCGTAGCACTCCCAGGCTAAGCACCCCCAGGCTCAGCACCCCCAGTAGTAGCACCCCCAGGCTCAGCACCCTCAGGCTCAGCACCCCCAGTAGTAGCACCCTCAGGCTCAGCACCCCCAGGCGTAGCACCCACACGCTCAGCACCCCCAGAGTCAGCACCCCCAGGCTCAGCACCCTCAGCAGCACCAGAGTCACCAGTAACCTCGACAGGCTCGACTGCGTCTACCTGGGACACACCTGAAGGGGCAGGACCCTGAGGGGGGAGGGGGTCTACCGGGGGGGGACCTGGGACAAGGAAGAGCGGTGGCGGGGGGAGGGACGGAGTGCGGTAGGGGAAGAGGCGGTAGTAGGGGACCGACTCGTCAAACGTGACGTCCTGGGAGGACAGGACACGGCGAGAGGTGGGGTGGTAGAACTGCCACCCTGGCGCGTCAGGGGGGAAGCCAAGGAAGACGCAAGGAGCAGCACGAGGGGACAGCTTGTCCGCAGACAAGTCGCGGACAAACGCCCGAGATCCCCAGACACGGAACGCAGACGCATCGCCAACCTTCCCCGTCCACAGCAAAGCTGGGGAGGTCTCCGGCATGGAGACCCTGGGGTGAAGGTTGATCTGATGCGCCGCGTACCGAACCGCAAACGGCCACAGAAAATGGGGGGCAGCCGCATGCATCATGGACGTACGGGCGACGTCCATGACCATGCCAATGCGGCGCTCAGCAATCCCATTTTGCTGTGGAGAGTCCGGAAGCGTGAAGGTCTGGCGGATGCCTCGTGCACGACAGTAGGCTCGCAGAAGGCCAGAGGAGAACTCTCCACCTCTGTCAGAGTGCAGACGCTGAACAGGAAAGTCCGAGCCGAAGCTCTGCCTGAGCTGGAGACGAGCTGCGCGGATCCAGTCGATCAACACCTCAGTGACATCACCCTTGCTGCGCAAGGGGAAGACTGTGGTGTAACGCGAGTAGTCGTCAACCACCAGCAGGAAGTAGCGCTCGTGACCCTGTCCACGGACGCGGGCCGGGCCCCACACGTCCATGTGAAGCGTCTGCAGCGGGGCCTCTGTCGGAGGAAACTGGGAGGAGTGAGGGGCAGCCCGCTGCCGCCCCTCGACACAGGGGACGCAGGTAGGGCCAGGCCCCGGAGGAAGGGGAGGGAGGGACCGGGGAAGACCAGAGACAAGGACACGGGAGGCCATGCTTCGGAGACGAAGCAGGGAGGGGTGACCAAGGCGGTGGTGCTAGAGGAGAGTCTCGTGAGACAGGAGGCGACACGAGCAGGGGGCAGACTCAGGACCGGACCTGGACGCTGCAGCAAACACCTGACCCGACGCAGCTACCTGACCAGACGCAGTGACTGGAGGAGACGCAGTGGTCAGGGTGTACAGGCTCGACCCCGGCCGACGGGTAAACGTGGCCAGGTGTCGGCCTGTCCGAGCGTCCGTG